TAAAGAAAAATTAAAAATCCACAAAAAATGGAAAAAGTGGGGTAATCACTCGGATTTTTTATCGTTTCAAGTTTTACGTAGAAGATCTAAGACGTTGATCTCAAGAGATTATAATATCTATTTAACTAATATACAATCTGACTTAATTAATCATCCGGCTCATCTTTGGTCATATGCAGCTAATAGAAAACGTGGCAGTGGCGGTGTACCGGCTCGTATGGTATATAACGGTGAGTACGCAACTGAGGGTCACCAGATTGTGGAATTATTCTCTAAATATATTAGTTCGGTTTTTATTGATAGTAAAAATCTGCAACAAGTACGTCAAACTATATTAAATAACTTTTGCCCCTGGTTCTCAGTTGATGATGTTTTGGATGGTCTTACTTCCGTTGATGATGGTAACTTGGGACCGGGTCCCGATGGATTACAGGGTATCTTCATTAAAACATGTGCGCCGGAGCTTGCTAAACCACTTTTCATTACTTTCTACCGTTCTCTCTCACAATCAATTTTCCCCTCTGAATGGAAGAAAGCGTTTGTTCTGCCAATATTTAAGTCGGGTAGTAGAAATATCGTTTCGAACTATCGCCCTATTTCTATTTTATCGATAATATCTAAAGTATTCGAAAAAATTATATGTGATAATTTATACCGTGCGATACAACCTTCTCTGATTCAGCAACAACATGGCTTTCTCCGTGGCCGTTCGGTTGATACTAATCTCGTGTCTTACATCAACTTCATTCAATCATGCATGAACGAAAACTGTCAGGCAGATTCCATTTATACGGATTTCTGTAAAGCGTTTGACAAATTGAATCATGCAACACTCCTATCTAAATTAGAAAGGTTTAATTTGTCAAATTGGCTGCTATCGTGGTTGGCTTCTTATATTTCCGATAGATGTCAAGCTGTAAAAATAAATAACTATACTTCTAACTTCGCCTTAGTTACTTCTGGTGTACCTCAAGGAAGTCACTTGGGTCCGGTTTTATTCCTAGCCTACATTAACGATATTTACGAATGTTTTCATCACAGTGAATTTTTGCTTTACGCTGACGACTGCAAAATATTTACTAAAGTTCAATCAACTTCTGATTGTGTAAAACTTTAAGATGATCTTAATCGTTTGCAAAATTACTGCACAAACAATTTTCTTTATTTAAATTATGACAAATGCATACATATTACCTTCAGCAGAAAAAGATACACCGTAGGCTATGATTACAGACTTGAGAAATCATTCGGAAGAATTATTCTCTAAGGCTAATAGGATTTTAGGTTACATCATTAGAATCTCCAGACCTTTTACTAACCTACAATGTATAAGGTCCTTATACATGGCATATGTAAACAGTCTTCTAAATTATGCATCGGTTGTCTGGAATCCTGTATATGCTGTGTATATTGACCGCCTTGAGGGATTGCAGAAAAGATTTGCTCGATATTTGGCTCACAAATTTAACTTACCGTACTGTTCCTACGAGCAAAGGTGCACCGTCTTTGGTTTGCGAACGCTGCTGAACGTAGATCTGCCGCTGATATACTGTTCTTGTATAAATTGATCAACGGTTTGCTTGATTCGCCCGAACTTATGAATCATATTTCATTCACAGCGAATGAAATATAAAATAGCTGGGCACAGCGCCCAGCTATTTTACTCGAGATCAGTGTTTATTTAGATTGCCCACTTCTAGCACTAATGCGTACTTTAATTCGCCGTTACCTCGTATTATGAATACGTATAATCGTTATTGTCCTGACGTGGACATTTTTGTTTTATCTTTTAGTACTTTTCGGAATGCTATTTGTAAATTGAACGTGTGTCAATAATACTTTTTATTTTGTAATTTATTTTAAATATCATTCCTGTTATCTTTTAGTTGCTTAAATTGTAAATGAGTTCTTTTGTATTTTTTTTTTTAATTATGTTTTTATATTTTAGAGGATACTGTTGTGGGGATTACGCTGTATGTATCCCAAATAGTGAAATAAATAAATAAATAAATATGAACATATGTCCGATTCACTTCACTTATTGAGTTATATGAGTTTAAAAATAATATTTAAAAATTATGGCGTTACGGCTCAGCGCAGGGCTCAATGGGTAAGTGTGCTATGACTGCATTAGTAAAATAAAGTACTTATTTAGATTACCGTCATGTTTGACCAAAAAAAAAAGCATTGAGCAAGACAATTCACTTTATTTATTGAGCTACACTTATGCATTTAAAAATAAAGTAATTGCGATAATGTTACTTTTTATTATAATTTGAAAAAATAATTTATTAATTTTAAACATTTTCGAAAATTCCACCTCCTACTTCAATACACTTATCTGCACGCCTGTGAACGGCTCGCGTTGCATTTTTTATCTTTGCACGGTGCTCCTTTATTTGCGTTGCAGCGTCAAAAATTCTTTGGATTAAAGCCTCACGTGTGTCTACTTTTTCTTGATATACTAAATCTTTCATCCAACCCCACATGTTATAATCCAGAGGATTGAGATCTGGAGATCTGGCTGGCCAAACGTGCGGTCCACCTCGACCGATCCAGCGGTTAGGATAACGTTTATTTAGATGATCGGTGACTCTACGGTAAAAATGAGAAGGAGGGGGCAATTAAAATATTTTACGGCT